TCGCACTACGTTAAGGTCCAGTCTCGTTGCGACGGTGCGGAGAACCTCACTTGACATTGATATTTAAAGAGTTTTAAATATCAATGTCAAGAGAGAATGGTGATCGGTGGTGTTGAAACCGTTGAAACTTAGTATTATGTTAAGGTCACCGGTTTTAAAGTTGCAAAAGCAGCCGGCTATAACTCGACTTTTGTCATCTAAGCACGAAGAGGTTCAAAAAAGTAAAGCTACAAGGATCCTTTTAAAGGTGCTCCAGTCAAAAAGTAACACAGCCTTCCTAAAGGTGAGGTAGGAGGTGGGAGATGTACCACTCAATGTGACCAGCGGACAGGATAGATTGCAGATCTGCGTTAGTAACACAAGGCTGTACTATCCGTAGCTTTTCAACCCCACAAAGTCCACGAGGCTTACTCATCCGATCGCTGTTTCCGTTTTGGTTCATACCGAGTGATCCATTTGGTCACATGGATTCATGTGTTTTGGAGGATCCCGAAACACGAAGCACCGCAAGATTGATGTAAACAGACTAACTGATTCCTCTGTCCAGGAGAGCTATCGGTCTTCACTGGCATATGCACTCAGTTGCAATCCACCGCGAGAAGTGGGACAACACTGGACTTGTATACGGAAAGCGCTGACCATTTCCGGACAGTCATGCTGCGGTCTAACTCGACGCCCTTTGAAGTCTTGGATCTCTGCTCGTTCTCTGGAGCTCTTCGAACGCCGCAAAGATATCCCGGCGGAATCAGATTGCAACAAGCGGCGCCGTTCTACCAAACGGCTCCTCAAGCAAAGCCTACGCAAGGATCGCGAGACATGATGGTCTGAGCGTGCTTTAGAGATGGAGACTGCTGCCCTCTCTGGTAACACCCGCAGGCTTTTCCAACTCATTCGGTCCACTGGCCTCAGGAAGCCTGGTGTCAGTGAGGTCATTTGTGAGGTAGATGAGTCTCCGATCACCAACCAACAGAGGCGTATGGACCGCTGGGCCGAGCACTTTCACTCGCAGTTCAACTGGCCTCCACCATCCACCATCCATCAGTACATGCAGTACACCTTGCTGTCCACCCTGGCTCGTCCCATTGAATCCACCCAGCGAAGCAGAAGTCTGCCTCGAGATTCGACGCTTGAAGCGCTTCAAGGCTGCCGGCTTAGACGGACTTCCTCCGGAGCTATTCAAGTATGGCGGTGTGACGGTCATTAACCAGCTAACCGCGCTGTTCGCAAAACTTTGCCATGAAGAGAAAGTGCCTTCCTCTTGGGGCGAATCAGTTATTGTCCCAATATTCAAGAAAGGCGCTTGCACTTCATGTGCAAATCATGGCGGGATTAGTCTTATTTCGGTTGCCTCTAAGCTGTTGGCATCCATTCTACTTCGTAGACTATCCCCAGTACGTGAATCGTACTACCGCGAAGAACAAGCTGGTTTCCGTCCGGGCCGCGAATGCATGGGTCAAATCTCCACGCTCCGCCAACTCCTTGAACATCGCCACATTTATCACAGGCCCACTATCGTTGCATTCCTAGACATACGTGCCGCTTTTGACTCCGTTGATCAACCTGCTTTATGGCGTTGCTTACTAAAGAACGGGGTGCCAGAGAAATATACCGCCATCTTACGAGCAATTTATCTTCATACCTCCGGGAGAGTGAGGGTATATGGCAAGCTTTCCTCGTAATTCGCTGTCAATAGCGGTGTGCGACAGGGCTGCCCTATGTCCCCATTCCTCTTCAACTTCGCATTCGAAGACGTTCTGTCGAATGCCCTAGAAGGTTTCCAACATTTTGGCCTAGAGCTGCTACCGGGTGAACGCGCGACCGACTTAGATTATGCTGATGATATCGCCTTACTTGGTGACGATCCTCAGGGTATGCAACTCATTCTGGATCGTTTGGCGGTTGAAGCATCTAAGTATGGCATGAGCTTCGCCCCAAGGATTGGCTTTCACCTGCTCCCGTGCTCACTCTCCAAGGTGCACAACTTGAACAGGTAGATAGTTTCGTCTACCTTGGGAGCTGTGTTTCCGCTGACGGCACCATCAACAAAGAAGTTTCGCTTCGTATCGCTAAAGCTCGATCAGCATTTGTCAATCTGAGGCACTTGTGGCGTCGTCGCGACGTCTCATTCTCACTAAAGGGCCGAGCTTACAGCGCATCAGTTCGCTCAGTATTGTTGTATGGGAGCGAGTCCTGGCCGATTCGCGTGGAAGACATGCGTCGTCTTTCTGCGTTCGATAACGGTTGCTTAAGGAGGATCGCTCGTGTTCGGTGGCAACATCGAGTTGCCAGTAATGACGTTCAACGTCGCATCTTGGGGAATGCAAATATTTTCTTCAACAAACTGGTTTTGTTGCGCCAGTTAAGATGGCTCGGTCATATCCTACGCATGGCACCTGAGCGTCTACCGCGTCGCGCTCTATTCGCTCATCAAGGATCTGGCTGGAAGCGACCGCGTGGTGGTCAGCCTTCCACTTGGCGGCAGCACATGAAATCGCTGACGTCGCGTCTAGCTGCTGTTGGACCCGTACGTCTTCCAGGATGGGGACCCAAAGATGGGGAGTGCCAATGGCTTAGGACTCTTGAAGACATGGCCCGCAACCGAAATCAATGGAAGAATTGTGTACAGTGTTGTATTGATTCACATGTTTAATACTACCAACATTGAAAATGACAAAAAAAGAGAAAAATCGGCGTGTGACAAACAAGCTGAAAATGTTTTGTTCTATTTTTTGTCAAAATGTTCCATTCTTCTGGCGGCATATTAGCTGAAGTGTGTTGCCCACCTTCAACTAGCATGCCACGATGATTATGACGCAATGACTGTCTCTTATCCACTGATTTCCATGGCTTTGTTGGCTCTGTCTAGTTACTAGACTGCTGAGATTACATACATACATGGATTCATTTGGGCAATAATAGGTTCACAAACCTTTCAGATATCCAGTGTCCGGTGGAGAAGAAAATAACATCCGAAAACAGAGATTGCTAAACTGCACATGACACCTGAGATTCTATTCGACTAGAAATTGATTTTGTCAGAATAATTACCTAAGGATGAAGATAAACTGTTGGGTTTTCCTGAAAAACGCTAAGGTTACCGGCAGTTATTTGTGTGGATCGTCTGGCCATCATCATCATCAATAACATCAATATACGAAAGCAGACAGTGGAAAACACACCTCAACTATTGTGCCGAATTACAAGATATAACACGTTACATTAAAAAATAAAATATTATACTAAATAGCAGATTATGCTGAGAGGCTAAAGAGGAGAAGAGGGACAAAGACTCACAACACAAACGCCATTGAGGTCGGCTCCTTGGCATGTCAACTAGTGTACCTAACCAGACGTGTTCATGGTCCTTCGTATCCCAGCCCAGCAGTAGAGACACCAACTGATACCAACTTCGAAGAGAGGGCCTTCATTCCACTTGAAAAAGTCACCGCTTGGCCTCTCCTTTTCCATCCAGACTCTGGAAAGGCAAACAACGTACGACGTGTGGAGTCGGTGTACTGGCTTGCGCAACACGTAGCCCAACCATCGGAGCTTGGTGAATGATATAACGATATTGAGCAATTCACTCGCTCTTGCTGCATCAAATACGCGAAGTTGCACGCTCATTGCTCACGCGGTTCTCAACAGGCATGAGCTAAGCTGCGAAGGCAGCGGTGGTCGAACGCAGCTAGCTTCTTTGTGACTTTCGACTTGACGGAGCAGGTTTAGAAACTGTATGGCAGAGCTGGACAGACGGCTGCATTGTGAACTCTGCCTTTCGGAGGCACGGGCAACAAAAGGGGATACTGGTGAAGTGATATCTAGCTAGTCAAGATTAGCGGCTTCTTGTAATGGCCTATTAGTGAACGACAGTCGATGACTCTCACGCAGTAAGTCAAACTGGCTGCAAATTCGCATTAGCTAGCCACAAAAACGTGGTCACCGACCTTAAGCAGAATTCACGAGCTGCAGGCGGTTTGCCAAAACGGGTAAACAAAAGCCTGCAAACCTGGGCCTTAGAAACGGAACAGACAAAAATATGATTGGATAGGGTGCACCACAAGTGTTAATGTCAGGCGTTTGACCGAATGCGCGCGGGATAGTCGCCCTATTAGCATCTTCGGTCATACAAGTTCAAGTTCAAGCGGGACTGTAACGATAGGATTATCCCGTGAGTGTTCCTTCTTCGGCGGGTGGTTGAACCAGGAGTTAGCGAACTTTGAAATACTGATGGACCTAAAACAAAGACCGCATCACACCCTGTCCAACCAATTAATGCCCACGTATCCTGCCCTAGCAGTCCCTGCTGGGCCGGTTACGTGAAGTAAGAAAGAGAAAAATGTAAACGCAGAAGGCAAAAGAGAAAGTGGTAAGAGCTAAGCAAGTGGAATACCAAGATGACGGAGACTCATCAGGTGGTTATGAAATGTCATGGACAGATGCGGCTAAATACAAACAAGATAAAAAGCGGGAAACGTGGCTATGAAAGGATACAGAAAGGTGTGTGCAGCAACATACCTGTCCATAAATCATAGCTGTAATACACGATGTCGTTAAGTATTGAGTATATCACTAGGTACGTTGAATTTCCATGTTTCCTTAGTGCAGTGGCAGGAGACTTAAGGGGAGTAGGTTATTCTTGAAAGAGTAAAATCTGGGAAAAACCGAGCATTCGAAGGTAAGTCCACTCGATATTAAGCAGCGATCGCCCAATGAGTGACAATTTTTCGCCAATCGGACACAGTGCACTCGTCGGACATAGGTGAAAATATGGTGGGACCATTGGATCTTAGTACGAAGGGATGTTCACTGTGTATTGGACACGAGTACGCCGGAATAAACTATCTGAATGCTTACGTACAAAAATGGCAGCAAAACCACCACTAACTGAATAAGGAAGCCGCACGTAATGGAAACTGACGGAACCGATTTTGAGAAATATTTCCAGCACATGAAGATAAACGTATTCCGATAGACGTACACCAGGAGACAGGGAAATTTACCTGCATCGTGTATAAGAATATGAGCAACAAAATGCTGACGAAGTCATTTCGTATTGAACAGGCCCCGTGAGTCTCCGTATCCGATTGAGTACAGCTCTGCTTATCGGCCATTTTTTGAATATTTCGGCGTCTAACGGTCATTTTAGAGCATGTAGTGATGAAATTTTGACAAAAAGCATGAAGGGAACGCAAGGCCAACCGGACGACGGTAGACGCGGCAGCAATCGAAATGCCACGAAATAGTGGCAGATGCACCATCACCAAGGTCAACTGGTGTTATCGCTTAGTATTTTCTCTGCGCCCAGGCAGCTTTAATATCGTTAGATCGCACAATAGACCGATACGGTTACGATGAACAAAAATACATTTGGTGAAGTATATAAATGAGCTGTCTGTTTGAGATCGTTGCTTTCCATTTACGGCGAAGACCGTGCTCCAAGCAGCATATTTTGGAAAATTTGGCGTTTGTCAGGATTTTTTCAGGCCGATATTTATTGGAATGTTGTCAGTTTAGAGGAAGTGGTACCTAACCACACATCCTATTTATTTTGCTTTTATAGTTAGCAATGACTATTTTTATCGGTGTTTTGGTATTTTATAACAAGTTTCCTCATTGGAGATAGCATAAAAATTTAGGCGTACTGTCGCTGAAGTTTGACGAAACAGAGTTTAAAACGTCATTGTGCAAAAATTTGATTTTAGTAAATTCCGTTGGATTCACCTAAAGTTTAACCGTCGTTTTGCTCGGAGTGTATTCAGATACTGCTAAGACTGGAATGATAGGACAATCCATTAAGTGATCTCTCTTGAAGTTCAAATTCTATTTCGGGTGGGGCTGGAACAATAAGAGAAGCTCGTGAGTGCTCCAGCTTGAGCGGAGCATTGTGCCAGGAATTGATGAAGAGCACAGTGTTATTGATGGGTCTAAAAACACCATCGCACCCTGCCCAACCAATTAATGACAACGTTTCCTAACCTAGCGGTCTCTGCTGTGACGGTCACGTGAAGTAAGCAAAATATGGAAGGAGAAATCGATGTTACCGTATAAGGAAATGCACTTAAAAGGAGCAAAAATAATACCAATGCGTGAAGAAAAGTAGAGAAAAGGAAAGCGGAGTATGAAGATGCGAGTTAGTCAGGAAAATGGAAAGGTTTCGTGGTGTCACTCAAGAGCGTCAAGTTACCCTTCAAACCCCTTAACCGTAGATTCCTTGATAACACTTTCTGGAAGCATGTTCCAGCGCTTGCTTACTCGGTGTGACAGCCGGATTTTCGCCCTTATCCGATCAGACCTTGCTTTATCCAGCTTCAAGGAAAGACCGCGTAGAACAGACAACCTAACGGGACTGAATAGTCAAGATAATGCGGGACCAACCTTTCCAATTAGGAAACGGTAGGTTAGTATTAAATCTTCTCTAAGCCTTCGGTAGTGCATTGAATGCATTCCCAAACAAAGTAGACGCTCGGGGTATGTTCCTCCCCGTAATTCCTCAACTAAGTAAGTACCCACCGCTAACACCCTCTGCAGCTCCATTTTGTCCCGGTCGATTCAGGAAGTACAAGCCTAGACGCAGTATTTTAGATGAGGCTGAACGAAAGCCGAGAGCAGTCTCATACAGATGCCGCCCGCCAAAACTCCGAAAGCATGTCGTAGTAATCACAACATGCAAAAATCTCTATTGCGGCCTTCCTCCAGTCGTCGCCGGAGTGTAACGTTGGAGAGCGTACGACGCCTAGCTCATCTGGCTAGATACACGTAGCAGTGTGATCCCACCGACGAAGTACTCCGCAGCACAACCTCCTCAAATTCGAAAAAGGGTGCATTTTGTCTGATTTATGGGCAGTAACCGTAAAGTAGGCCAGTCCCGTAGCTTATCCAATGCTAGCTGAATAGCTTCGGAACCCCCAGGAACCTCGACAAGGTTTCGCAGCTTCAAGTCATCAGCCAATAGAAGCGATGAAACCTCATGCTCCGCGGGTTTCAGTCACGTAGAAAGAGAACAACAGTGATCCAAGGGCCGATCCCTGCAGCACACCACTGAGGACAAACCGCCTAAACGATAGGCCCGGCCTACCAGTACACACTGTTCTCTACCATCCAAAAACTAGTCACTCAATGGAGGTTGCGGCCAGATATGCCGTAGGAGGTCAGCGTCTGCGTGGGCCTCAAATGGCGTACTTTGTCAAATGCCTTAGTATAGTCGACGAATAGCATGTCCAGTGCGCAGCTGCTATCCACTGCATCCACCCAAATTTCGCGAGCCACCAGTAGACTGGTTAGACAAGAAAATCCCTTCCGAAATCCGTGTTGTACATTGCTAAATGGATTAAATTTTCTCAGATGACTCTCTGATGAATCTCTCGGCAGTTTCTAGAGGAGTTTGACTATTATATTCTTCAGAATAACCAGCCCGTAATTAGCAGCCTGACCCCTGTCTCACATTTTGCAAACGGGACAAATGACAGCTTCCTTCCATTCGGAAGATAACGCACAGCTGTCAAGCGAATGCTGAAACAGCATCGCGGGCGGTCCACTTAGTTCCGCAGCCAACGCATGCAACAGTTTCGGGTAAACTAAATCAGGCCCAGATCGATGAGTGTGAAAAGGATAAGGTGCTGTGCGCTCTTGATAGGTCTAAAACGAAACCCACCAGCCACCTCTGGTCAAATAAGTACTGCCAAGTTTTCCTGCAATTGCAATCTCCGTTGTGTGTTCATTGTTTATTGATTTGCTTGAGTTGTAGCGAGTAGGAGGTCAATCCTTTGCCAGCCTCATGGAATCCCTGTCACACTTGGTTTGCTACGTGGCTTCGGGTTACGGTGATCCCCGAGGGTTCGTCGCAATTGCAGTGACAGCCACAAGCTTCCAAAGTAGCGAACGTTGGTCGCAAAAGATTTGGAAATTTCCTCAGTTGACCCGTCTGCGATTCCTTTCGGTATTTCTTTCCTTATTAGCCGGATTCAGTGCGTTAGTTTTGTGGTCCGGGAAGAAGGCGGATTGGCCTCCATCGAACTCTCTGAGTTTTCTGACTATGCGAAAATGCACTATGTGTAGAGTTGCTCTTCCATTTGCGCGTCGGATTCGCAGCTTGCAGACAGCTTGAATTATTCGGACTCGGTCCTCCGGGAGGAACGTAGATGTTTTCGCAGTTGAGGCGCGGGATTCGTCTCCGGATGCGTTGGTATTCGTCTTCAAGCTGACCTACGATTTTCAGAGGACAAATCTTGTCCGTGCCCCCTTGTTTTCTGCCGAGGCGTAAAGCAGAGATTATGTATATCCCTTGCTCACATTCCGTTAAGGAGGGCTTGGTCGTCTAGTATACTTTTAGCTGGAGCCCGTTGGTTATATTCTGTGAAGCTTGTGATTATCAGGCAGCGGTTGCGAACAGGCGGCTTGTTTCCTTCCCGTGATGCTGGCACTTGCGGGCATTGCTTTTATTTGACCATTTGCGCAACCTGCGCTGCCATATTTTGTAGGACCTTTAGTTCCGCAAGTAAGGAAGTAGGGAAGGCATATAAAGCAAATGGGAGATAATGAGAAAGGAATGACATTAAAATAAAGGACAACCTCAAAGAATGACGAGAATGACAGATATCGTAACCACAAGTTTGATGTTGGATACAGACAGGAGAGTAAAACTTTTTTTGCGTTGTCTCACAATAGCGTCTAACTGACGCTTGAAACAATAAGCTTTATGTTCATTGACTACCGTTTCAGGAACCGGGTTCCAACGCTTTATAACACTACATGCTAACTTAAGTTCCTACTTGAGCCGGTCGGAAGGCGGCTTGTGTGGCTTGTGAGTTACCGAAACACATGCTCTTTCACTATTCGCAATATTAGGTTGTGCCCTTGGTTTAACCTACAACACTTCCGCTTGTTTTACATAGGGCACTTTCTTTGCCATGAATCGTTCTGATGAGTGACTTGCAGCACCGTTGCTCACTCTGGTTGATTCGCTTCCAGTTTTTGTGGCCTTCTCAATACACGTTGGGTACAGCCACCTGCAACTTCTATACTGTCCCGTATTTGACACGTATCTTACGTGCCATTGATTACCGACTACGATCTCAGGCGCCACCCAACCATTGGTGCCCCAGTCCAGAACATGGCGATAGCCAATTTGAATTTTCAGTCAGGTGCGCACGTTAAGGTGATTTTTGTTTCATTACTGGTACACATATTATTTTCTCTCCTACCACAATTTTTCGCTTTTTGCAATGATTATATAGTGGACCATATATGACCATATGCGGGTAGCGAGGTAGAGCATGTCATGGTCAAAACAGTTGCGTTAGCCCCACCACCTTGAGAGAATAATCCTTTCTTATAGTATTTGCAACTAGAATCCATGGCTTCCATTTGTAGGATTTCTTCTTAGTTCGCCCTGTTTAATCAGCTACTATCTCGCCTTCCTCAGCGTGTATCCTCGCAGGTGAATGACGTCTTGTTTTGCTTCCACTTGCAATGAAATATGAGACTTAAACAGGCTAGTATTTAACGAAGCAGGCCTTCTGACAAGGTTCGTCTGCAACAACTATTTAGTATTCTGAACCTAGGAGGTAAGGAGCTTTCATCATTGTTGCGCCAAAGACAACAGCTCAGTGGTAATTCCAACATGGAGCTAGGCGTTCTCCGCAAGTTGTGGATACAACGCCTTCCTGACAGCACTCAGGCGATCCTTGCGTTAGCAGGTAACCAACTAATCACAGAAATTGCAGAGCTAGCAGTTCGCATCTTCGAACGGCACCAGCAAGAAACTGAAACAGCATCACCTAAGCAGGTTTGTTCGGGCGCAATCACACGGAGATCCCAAACCTGCCAACAGTCCGCGATGGACGTATTATTATGGCACTTCAGTGCCAGGTCGCGGAACTCACTTTAAACCGTAGCTACCGCGGCCGCTATGGATAAGCCCCCGTCCCATACAACTTGGTGCTCCAGGTTACTATTTTTATCACTTTAGCTCTTGTAGTTAAGGACGTAACTACGTACAGCCATGTCACTACTCCCCTACAGATGGTCCGCTATACCGAGCTGTAATGGTCACGAACGACGTCGGCAAAGCCCAAAGTCGTCTCAGCTACATTGTGGATTATGATTCACGGACCCAGTGCTTAGTTAAATAAACAAATAACTTAAGCTTTTATTCTTTATAAGGTGAGGCACGTCTTTACATGCATGATCATATTGACGTAAAGATGCTTGTGAAAGAATTGCAAAGTTCGATGCGCTTACCGTACCAGTGAGTGGTTGTGTAGGTGAGCATGTAAGTACGTAATTTACGCGTATGTAGCTGTGTCGTTTGTAACTGCAGTGTTGCAGCACCATTTTTGGATGTTTGTTATAGTCAGCAGTGTGCGAGTGGGATTTTGAAATCCGTGCGTAGAAAAGGATTAACCGGATGGCCACGGAGCATGGACGTATTTTGTGGTGAGCCACCATCGCCAAGTCACATGGTTGTTAAGCAGACATTTGTGGCTTGTTATAGGGAGAACGCTTGCCAGGCAAAAACCCACCACGCCCTGGAGCACTGCCGCCGCACTATTTACTGGAACGGGTTAAACCCG